TTGAGGGGCTGCACCCCCCCGCCCCCCCCCCCTTTTTTTTTTTACCTGTTGGAGAGATTGCACGGAGATGTGTGTGAGGGTTGGAGGGTTGCTGGTGGGAGCATGCTCCACACATGATTGAAGTCTGGTATTATTATTGCATGGACACTGATTTTCCGCGTTTGGAATCAGGTTTTTCTTCTTGGAGGTAACAAGTGATGAAAAAGTATCCTTAGGGGTGGTGTGGCCGTCTTGGTCACCTGTGTGCCACTTGCCAATGCTAGGTCTTGTCATAGTTACACTGACTGTTTCCTCCATCCCGCTCGGGTTCGTTCTTCTCTTGTCTTGCTCTCTTTGATAACCTAGTTCCTGTCTCCATGTGTTTTCTAGATTGGCCCCCGCCGCATACACACAGTCCGGGTCCGGGGAGGCAACAAGAAGTACCGAGCCTTGAGGCTGGACGTGGGGAACTTCTCCTGGGGCTCCGAGTGTGAGTGAGGCGGGAACTCGGCAGAGTCAGCACCTAAACCTTTTAAGCTTCATTAAGTGCGTTTAGCAGGAAGTTCATGGTCTCCACCCAGATACTGAAGTTTCTCCTGGAAAGACTGAGGTTGTAACCAGAGAGTTCTCTCCAGCCTATCCTATACCTTAACTCACGTAGTCTCTGCGAGTGGGGCTGAATCTAGAGACTGAATGTATGTGTGGTTGTCAGCTGCCTGGAAAGATGAGCCTTCCCTTGCTGCTGCTTAGACCCTGTTAGGGTGGGGGATGGGAGGGCAAGGACAGTTGGCCTCTGATTTACATAACTTGATTTTGAATTTCTCCTGTGAGCAGGTTGTACGCGCAAAACAAGGATTATTGATGTTGTCTACAATGCATCCAACAATGAACTGGTCCGCACTAAGACCCTAGTAAAGAACTGCATCGTGCTCATTGACAGCACACCGTACCGACAGTGGTACGAATCCCACTATGCACTGCCCCTGGGCCGCAAGAAGGGGGCCAAGCTGGTGCGTGTTTGGGGAGTCAACTTCCCTGTAGGGGTGGGAGGAGGCCAGTCTAATTCCAGCCGCCTTGTGATGAAAGTTCTGTCCAGTTCTGCTACTGAAGGGGGAGAGATGAAAGCCTTTAGTGCTGAGGAAGGTGGCAGGAATTGGGATATGCTGGGTTGAAGGCTCTGATGACATTCCTTCCCTGAGCTAGGGATTGGGGACCCCCACCTAATCTATCTGTATCTCCTTTATTCAGACTCCTGAGGAGGAAGAGATTTTAAACAAAAAACGGTCAAAGAAAATTCAGAAGAAATACGATGAAAGGAAAAAGAATGCCAAAATCAGCGGTCTTCTAGAGGAGCAGTTCCAGCAGGGCAAGCTTCTTGGTGAGATGGTTATTGCATGCAGGATGTGGTGGGGGTGTCATGGTGTGCCTTCTGCATTGCTTGCTTCAATTCTTGTGACTGCCAGCCATGTGGTCTAGAGGGTTCACTAGGACAGTTGAGTGATAACAGCATACAAATCAACATTTAGTCAACCCATTAGTGTGAAGCTAAAATGGACAATAGTGGACAGGAGTCCATAGGCCTGAGTTTCACCTCTGCCTCTGAGAATTGCAGGGGTATCATTTCAAGAAGTCCATGGCCAGGCTAAGGGGGCTGTCTCACTGATGAAAACTTTGTCCAGTTCTGCTACTGACTTTAAGTGACGATAAAGTATATCTGAGGAGACTGTGGGTTTTATGCCTGCCCCCAGGGTACTAGAACCATCATGGACTTTTAAGGGAACATTAGTTTAGGTAGGGCCACAGTATTATTTTGCTAAAGACCTCTCATACTTGGTTGCAGCATGCATCGCTTCAAGACCAGGCCAGTGTGGCCGAGCAGATGGCTATGTGCTAGAGGGCAAGGAGCTGGAGTTCTATCTGAGGAAAATCAAGGCCCGGAAAGGCAAATAAATCCTCCTTTTGTCTTAGCTCCTATAATAAAGGTGTTTATTGTGTTCTTTGTCTGTGTTGTCTGAATATTTGATCACAGGGGCTCCCAACAATATTTGGATGTTGACTTTTAGTTTTCAACCTGGGTTCATGGGTGGTCTAGAACTCTTGGAACTGTTCCAAATTTCTGCATTATTGAAAGTAAGTTATATGCATGTTTACACATGCTGTCAGATTTTGGGTGTCTTAAAATTATTTCTCTTGAGCCCTAATCCCTTCCCCCACTTCACTACTCAAAAGTATGTTAGATTACCAGTGATTTCTGCATTGCTAAATTTAAGGGTCAGCTCTGTCTTCAACTTGGTATCATTCTTTCTCCAGCATTTAAATGTTGTTTATGGTCCATCTTTCTGACTTTAGTCCACACTTACCCTGACATGTACTTGGATGTCTGCATGTTCAAAACTGATCACATTTCTCAAGCTCCCTTTTCAAGTAGCTTCTCAACTATTTGCAACAAACACTTGTTTTCATTAAACTGATTAAATCATCTTGACCCTTAATAGCACATTTAAGTTGGTTCAACCATTAACACCACTTCTACCATTCTGGGAGTTTTTTTGCATCCTACTTCCTTCGAGTGCTGCTTCTGTTGTCCCCAGAGCAATCCCAGCAATCTGATCATTTTTAAAAAGTCAGGTTTTTGACGGCTTTCCATCTCAAAATCCTTACCAAATACTAGGGAACTCAACATGATCTGGTCCTTTTTTTCTATGGTGACTACCATCCTGGCCTTGCTGAATTAGTGTTCACTTGGCTGTTTTTCCTTTGTTGGGAACACTTCAAATACCTACATGGTTTATTCCCTCCAGGTCTTAGTTCTGTCACTAGTGAGTTCTTCCCTGATCACAGTTTTAAATCGTGGCCCCCTCCACACTGTCCTTTGCTCAGTTTTTTTCCCTTTACCCTTTAAGCTGGTGTAAATCTTGCTTTTTTTTTTTTTTTTTGTCTTCTCAATATAACTCCAGGGGACCAGGGATATTTGTGTCCTGCTGTGTCTCCAGTATCTGGAAAAGTGCATGGCAATATGCCAGGCACTGAAATATGTGTTAAATTGAGTTCTTAAAGATTTTATACATCATAAAAGTTGATGGAAAGTGCAAGTACATATTTTCAGAGCCAAAGAAGTGCAAAATCTGATTGGTTCATCAAATTAGCTAAATTGCAGACTTATGTGAATAGTCAACTGAGAACTAGGATATGAACCACTTTTTTGAGTACAAGAACTTAAGGGTTAAAAACCTAATCTAAAACTTTACCATTGGCTCTGGGGAGACCTTGTCCTACCTTCCCACCCAGTGCTCTTCATGTACCACCTTAGCTAATGTGTACTCAGATCTCTGTCAGGCATAGTAAAGCAACACTCAAGCACTTTGCCTTTACTTTCTAATTGAAACTTTACAGGGCATTGATCTTTATTCCTCCCCCTCCTTCACTCCTACTTCTAATCTGTCAGGACCAATAGGTTCTTTGTAGAGGAATCTATCCACTTTCCCTCTCCACTGCCTCTGCAGAAGACAAGCCCAGCAAAAATCCTCAAATACCTTTTCAGTGAATGGCTACTGTGGGATGCTATTGTCTCCACATTATAGATTTGGCCACTGTGAGGCTTAGAAATGTTCAATAACCCAGCAGGAAAGAATCAAAACCATCATTTTAATCTAGTCAGTTGACAATGCCAGAGGCTGCACTCTCAATCTCTGCCTACACACTCCTGCCTCCCCTTCTTTGAGTTCTGGCACTCGTCATCCTTTGGCCTTAAAGGTCAGTTTTGACATTCACTAGTTCCTTTAGCGGCTAAGCTTAGAAGGCAGGAAACTTAGAGGAGCTCAGTTTAGCAACGACACCAATCTAGTGCTGAGACTTTCCCATAAGGCTCTTAGCTCCAACTGAGTGCTCCCAGCACTGCAGTCCCACCATAGAGATGGATTGCAGCTCTCACCCCTTAAATTATCTATTCTCACCCTATTTGGTTGGTGGGAACAGAAAAAGGCTTGGCACTCTGTAAAATCCAGATGCTGAAAGTCTAGGCTGGGTGGTGTACGACTGCCTTCACATCTGAGTTTAATCACCCTCCAAGGCAGATTCTGAAACCCTTATCTTTATTCCATCATATAGCATACCAATTCAATTTTAAACAATTGTAATTGCACAGTAATAAATATATTCTCATTGCAAACAAAAAATTGAACATTACAGGTAAAGCAAAAGTCCCCCAGCACACACACTTTGACTCCAGAGTAAGGTTGTCGGGCTAAAGTATATCCTAAACATCTTATGTATAACTCAAATTGCGATTCTGGGACCAGCAGCAGTAGCATCACCTGGGAACTTATTAGAAATGCAAATTCTTTAGCTTCATTCTAGATCTAATAAATCGCAAATGTTTGGAGTGGTACCTGTAACTTTTTAATAAACCCTTCAATAATGCTGATGCTCCCTCAAATCTGAGAACTGATCTAGTCCTTCCAATGCCAAGGAAATGAACAGTCCACCTGGGCCCTAGTCCTCTATGCCTCGCCCCATGTATCTTGCCAGCTTCACCTCCCCCAAACAATCGATCCTACCTTCTCCCGCCAAAGTGGACACATTTCCAGCCCTGGCTCAGGCCTTTCCAACCATCTTCCTCTTTCAAGGTCTGTCCCTAAATGCCCCGGCTCAGGGCGCACAGGAAGTGCTGTTCTAATAGTGCTGGAGGGCAGAATGGGGCACCGCCCAGAAAGTGGGAAGTAATGGGCGGGAAGCGGGTTGGGGTCAGGCCTAGGGGCGGCAGGCTGGGCGGCCTGGCTCCGGCTGCCTCTGCTCAGAGCTCCTGAGTCTGGTCCCCCGACCCCGCCACCGCCTCCTCGATGCAGTCCGCGGCCTCGGGGTCGCCGTCCTCCTCCTCCCGGAAGCGCAGCAAATGAGGGGTCCGGGGGGGTCCTCGTGCGCGGCCAAAGTTCCGGAGGCTCACGGCGGGAGAAGGCGCTCCTGCGCCCAAGAAGCGACTGAGCAGCGGGGTCTGCGCGGCGGACACTGGCGGAGCCGACTCAGGAGACGCCTCCACCTGCAGGCTCTGCTCCGGGTCGTCGCTCACGCTGCGGGCGGGCGGGATGAGCGCGCCTTCGTGCCAGCCCGGCCGTTGGACCCGCTCTCCAGAGATGAGGGCAGGAAGGACCGAGTCATTGGCACCCTAGAGGGTGGGCGGGGACCTGGGGGCCCATGTGTTTGGTCAAGCCCTGCCTCCTTCAGCGCGGACCACTCACCGCAGGTTGAAAGTGGAGCCCAGGAATGAAGGTCGCAACGACTCGGCCACCGTGGCTGCAGTGTAGGGCGGCTGCGCTGAGCCTTCGTCCCAGTAGGGGTCTTTCTCGACGGGAGGCAGGTTCTGGTACATGTCGTCCACGGATAGCAGGGATACCTGGGGTGGGCAGCAGGTCACAAAGGTCCTCCGCTCCCCTCCACGCGGGGGCTGCGAGCTGTCAGGCAGGAAGAGCCCAACGAACTGCCCTAGACCTCTGCTCACCTGCAAGTTGCGGTCAATGAGCTGGTTGGTTTCAAAGTCATCATCATCCTCACCAAAGGGGTTGATGATCTGTTCGGCCACCTGCAGGTTGTAAGACAATATTTTCTGCCCTGTCCTCTGTCCCTAAAGTTGGGGTGAGCCCTGGGCCCATGTCTCTACAGAGCAAGCTGGTGTGACCACCTGAAGTGCCCACCTTGAGCCAGCCAGCATAAAAGAAGAACTGCAGCAGAGTGGTGAGAGGCACATACATGTCCAGGTCCCCAAGGGCTGGTCCTGGCTCCTGGCCTGGCTCCAGAGGCTGCCAAGGTTTGGCAGCCCCTGGCTCTGGCTCCACAAACTGGCGGCCAACCAGGGAGAGGGCAAAGAAAGAGTATACTGCTATGGTCACCACCTGGAGAAGGGGGAATCGGGCTGAATGGGACAGGGAGAAATGCTGTCCTTGTCCCTAAGGGCCTGTAGTGGGGGGTGGGGGTGGACGGGGTGGCGGGGGGGTGGGGAGGTCCTGACAAGTATTAAAAACATATAGCAAGGTGTGTCAGCACCAAAGGTGATGCGGTCATCTTAGTAGTGGTCTAGGGAGGCTTTGAGGATGAGCTTTAGGCTGTTCAGTGTCTCACTAGACTGAACTGCCCCAGGGTAGGTACCATCTCTAATTCTTCTCAGCATCTCACACGCAGTATAGAACATACAGTAGGCTCTGAGACTAGGGAGGCGAAAGGCAGTTAGTTACTTGAGTGTAGACGAGAGGGATGCTGATCCAGTCATAGTGGAACAGCATGCTGCACTTGGCTCGGTACTTGTTCAGCTCCTGGTGGAACAGCAGGAAGAGGATGTCAGTAGAGGTGAGGAAGAATGGAGAGAACAGAGGAGCCCAGCACAAACTAAGCCTGGACCAGATCCGGAGGCTCATTTTGCTTTTAGAGTTTTTATCAGGCTGGGGTGCCTGTGATGGGAAGCAGTTTAGCAAAATAATTGTAAGCACAGAACCCTGAGCCAGAATGTCTGAGTATGAATCCCAGCTTCCTTAACTAGCTCTGTGACTTGGGCAAACTTCTTTTCTACACTGTGCCTCAGTTTCCTCATCTGTGAAAGGGGATGATAATAATAGTACCTATCTTAAGGGTTGTCGTGAGAGTTAAATGAGTTAATATAAGTACAATGCTTCCAACCGTGTGTGGTACATAGTGGGCGCCATAAGTGTTAAGTACTAAAATTATTATTCCAGTTCGCAAAGCTAGGGGAAGGAGGGCAGATGTGCCTGGTCCTAAGTAGACTCACTTCCAGGAGCAGGCAGAGAGCAATATCATCACGGATTCGCCCATCTCTCCGGGCCTGAGCTGCTAGGTTGGTGAACCAGACACAGGGGACCCAGTACTTGTTAAAGTCGGATTTCAGACTCTCAAACTTTTTCCTTTCTTCCTGGGACATGAAACCTGCAGGGATAAAGTGGGTGGGGCATAGATTCATCCTCTGCCTTTAGGATGCCCTGGAGCTCCTCCTGGCTGTCAGGCCTCCCCTCCCTGAAGGCCCAAGGCACCTGCATATACCACGTGCTCCATGGTGGGGAATCGCTTGAGCACGCGTGTGCTGACTGAGCGCAGCACTAACACTGACGCCAGGTTGGCATAACGGATGAGGGTCCGGCGCAGCAGGCGGCCATGCTGGTCCACGCCATGCACACTGGCCGAAATGACACACATCAGCTGGTCCGGCAGTGGGATGCTTGTGTACTGGGCCCACCAGCGGTTCACCACCAAGGTCACGTAGAAACCTGGTCACCGCCATGGGTAGGAGGGATGAGAAGGGAAGATGGAAGGCCTGGGAGTCAGCGTGCCCTTCCTTCCAGCCAGAGCACCTGGTCCAGGCCAGGTTGAACCAAGGCAGAAGGAAGGACGTATTTGGCTCTAGCGCCCTGCCTTGCTGTCAGGAGGACAGTCTGTTCTTCTGGTGCCACCCTGATGTGCTAGACCAAGCTAGGAGGAAGGAGTACAATCCTAAGGCAGAGAAGTAGTGGTTCAAGGCCAGGTAACAGTTAACTCGAAGCTATGCTTCCCATGAGGGTGGGAATGAGGTGTCACCTGTCTCTAGCTCCCCTCCAGTCCCCAGAAGGTGATGAGGCCAGCAGGTAGCTTGGGCATTGTTTGGAATGAGGATCCAGCAAATGATAGGCAGGGCCTAGCCTTCTGGAAATCCTGGGCCTAGCACACAGCCCCATGCCTTCTGAGCCTTCTCTGGTTGATCTGCGGGCTATGCCGCTGGGGTAATTCTGACTCTCAGAGCTATCACCCCCACCCAAAAGTCAGGAAAGATGGGTAAGGCGATTACCAGGAGGAACTAGAGAGAGCCTTACCCAGGACAAAGGACAAGGGGATGAGGTCCGCAGAGCGGTTGCAGTATCGAGCCACCTGAGCATACACATATCTCTGCTCCTGGGTGAGCAGCAGCCTGGAGAAGTTCACGTGTAGGCCTGGGTTAGAGGGAGGTGGGCAGCCTAGTCCCCCACAGACCACCCTGAGACCTCACCCTCTCACCGGTAGGTGATGCTGAGCAGAGCATACAAGATGATGAAAAGTAGGAACTCCTTGTAGAGGAGCTTGTAGATACTTCCCCTCCAACGGAGAAGTAGCCCAGAAAAGCCTCCAAAGCGGGCCTCCGCCACTTTGAGGGTGTACGAAATCGTCATGGCACTGGGAACCTAGGGTAGAAGGTCACAGAGCTGCCCCAGAGCTGTTTCCCCCAGAAAGCCTCTTCCTTAGCTTGGCTTCTCATCACTAGGCTTAGTTCCCCAGGCAAACGCCTTTCAACTCTGGTCATACCCCAGCCTTCATCTTGTGTCAGCAGACAAGGAGAGAGGAAGCTGCAGAGCAGACAAAACACCCTCATCTCTCCCAGGACCCAACAGAGCAGGAGTCAAGCCAAGATGGGGCGGGGCAAGAGGGAACTGAAATCTAGGCCCTCTCATGCATGAAGTTTTCTCATACTCCTTTTAGCCCCATGCAAGGCTAGGAATAACCAGATGCTGAATTGCTGAGGACAGGAGATTTAATTCTAGCTCAGACTACCACTATCCCTTGGGGGCTTGCTCTTGAAGCTGATACCTGTTTCCCTGAGGCCCAGAGCACTCTTACACCCATCCCACACCTGCCTACCTGTTCTGGGATGCAGTCTGCGTTGAGGAAGGAGAACTGGGCTAGCTTCCATCCCCTACACACTTAAGTACCTTCTGGGCCCATAAAGTTGGCTGGACTGAGGTTATCATTGATGGATTGAGGCTGTCACCCAGCTTCCCCTGGTCCTGGGAACTGGATATGTCTCCCTACCCCTGTAGGGCTGGGCTGGCCTTTGAATGGCAGAAGTGCCATTTGCACTGACCCCACAGCTCACACAGATGACACCATGTCCTTGAAGTCAGGATGACAGGAATTACTGTCCCACGCTCCAGGTGAGAAGACAGATGCATGATAAATTGTTACAATCATAACAGCTGCTGGTCACAGAGTGATGACTAAGTGACAGGCACTGTGTCAAAGGTACTACTACATCATACTCTTGTGGAATCCTCATCGCAACCCCATGAGGTCGGAATCATCCCCATTTCACAGATGAGGCTCCAAGAAGTAAATGACTTGCCTAAGGTCATACAGCTAGGAAGTGTTGGAGAGAGGATTCAGAGCTGGAGTTGATGGACTTCAAAGGCTGGAATTTGCCCATCTGGGCCTAAGCAAGGGTTCGCACTGTGGGACCAGGGTCCTATCACCAGGCACCCTCTTAGTCCAGGCTCTGGCGGGGCTGGCCCAGCCCTTCCCCATCCCTATTCCACAGGGCTGACGAGGCCACAGATCTGGGACTCAGGCCTAGGGATGTAGACCCCCTCAGCCCTGTGTCCAGCATCTTGACTCCTAGGGGTGTCCAGGATCTTGAGTGGCCATTTCCACTTCTAGGCCTCAGTTTCTTCATCTGTCAAATGGAGGAAATAATACCTGAGGCACCAGCTCAATTGTCCACCCAGTGCCAAGGTCATCTACGAAAACCCAGTAGTGGTGGTCTTGCTTCTGAGCTTGTCTTGGGGAGCTCCTTCCCCCACACTGTGAGCTGCTTCCTACCCATAAGTGTTTCCTAAAGAGGGGAAGCATGAAAGGGTGATTAGGAGCACAAGATTGGGAGTCAGACAAACCTGGGTTTGAATTCTAGCTCTCTGTACCCTTGTACAAGTTAACCTAATCTTTCTGAATCTGTTTCATCCGTTGTAAAACAGGACCAATGACACCTTCCTCACAGGGCAATTGGGAGTATTCAAAGAAACAATGCCCAGAACCTGGAGCACTGTAGACATTTAGCCTGGGTTGCTATTACTGTAACAAGCCAAATCTGTTTCCTTTGGTTTCCATCTATTTGTCCACTGTTGCATCCCAGAACCAGACAATCCTTCAGAAATGAAGAGGCAGAAAGAACTTTCTCCTGATACCTCACCAGCCTGCCCCCAAGCCAAACGGTGCCAGAGCCTGGCTTTTAAACTGAATACACAAGGCCCTCCGAGATGTTCCCACCTTTACCCACTCATCCCCCATCACCAGCCTCTAACCCAGCCCCTTTTCACTGCTCCTTCACAGTCTAGCTCAGAGCATCTTCCAAGAAGCCTGCCATGATCTTCCCCTAGGTCACTCTTCAAAGACCCCTGGGTTTCCTCTCTGGCAACAGTTAATCATACTGGTCTATAATCTGCCTACAGAGACATCTCCCTTCCTGCCCGTGAGACCCTTAAGGACAGGATTAGATCTGATTCATCTTGGTAAAGCTCAGGAGGACTTGAACTCAGGCAGGCTTTCTTTCCTTTTTTCTTTTTGTCCCTTTTAACCTGAAAAACATCTGGGCCTCCTCCCTCTTTTGCATAAACAATTTCTTGGATGAGCAAGGTCTGGAAATGTACTCATGGCCTAATGAGTTATGTTCTCCTTCCAGGGCCCAGGCGAGATGTCAATATGATGAGAGAACAGGTTTCTTGCACCTGGGAAGCCAGGCTCTGGGATGGAAGGAACTCAGGCCCTGAGGTCCTGGGGGCTTCTCTCTGACTGCATTCCTCGAGGGCAATGCAGCTGGCCGCATTTCAGTCCTCTGCTTCCACCCCCATCTGTAGCCCTCACACTTCTGCCTGTTACCAACACTCTAGATCGCTGGGCTGTGAATTTCCCACAGAATCACAGACAGGAGTATAGGACCTGAAGTCTCTGCCAGAGAAAGGGGGCAGTCCCCAGGCTCCACCCATCCCCTCCCTCCTGAGTAAGCTTATGTCCCTTCCTCAATGCTGACAGGTCTCTTTGGTTTATGGTCTAGGAGAGGGAACCACTTCACCAGTAAATCACCTGGCCCACCCTTCTTTATCATCCTCTAGCTCTTACCTCTCCTCTTGTCTGGCTCCCTCTCTTCTGATTTTAACCACCAATGCCCCTCTCCCCTCCTCACAGCTCATAGCTGGATATAAGGCTTGGCAGTTCACAGCATGGAGTCTGGAGCCAGACTCTTCAGATTTTCAAATCCAGACTCTACCGTGAACTACTCTTGTGATCTTGGGCAAGCCGTTTAATCTCTTTGTGCTTAATTTTCCCATGGGGAAACGGGAATGATGATATCTATCTCACAGAGTTGTTGTGAATAGTAAATTAATCAATGTTTATAAAATGCTCAAAATAGTACACGGTAAGTATGAAACACTACTGTACCTATTAGCATCTCACTTCTCTCTGGTCTGGCATTAGCACTTCTACCTCTGCACCCACCAAGGACACCTGAGATCTCCTTATTGCTTAATCCCTCCTGAGTCCTAGCCTTACTTGGCACTTCTCATTTTTGACAGACTCCCTTAACCTCTGTGACCTGACACTGTCAAGAGATTCTTGACTCAGTTACTAAAGGGACAAGGAGTGCGAGACATGTACTCTACTAGGAGTAGAAGGCTTGACAGCATCCTGTGGGGGATGGAGATCCAGAAGGACAGCTCAGAGAAACCTCAGCTTGGGCAGAGGTTGTGAGAGTCTTGGGAGGTGGGGAGGGAAAAGGGCACTAGTAAGAGAGACATGGAGACACAGAACAGTGTAGGAAGAGGACAGAAAAGTCAGGCCTAAAGACAGATCCTCCAAAAGGAATTCATAGGTCATAAATTCCTTTCCTACGATGTCATCGCATATCACAGGAGAGAAGACTAAAAGTCTATATCATATTCAGAAAAACTTTGTCACAAACTATCATATCTCCCATCCATTCTTCTAGGACCCATTCATCTTTCCTAGAAATCGTTTACTCTACCCTAAGAGTTTTACATTCCCTTTCCCCCTTTCCCTATTAAGATAGTTAAGCCTGAATTCTAAGCCACATGAAAGAGTTATTCATTTTTCCCTGGGTATCTCTCATGTATACATAAATTATATATGTTAATAAACTTGTTTTTCTTTTGTTAATCTGCCTTTTTTTTTTTTTTTGAAAGAGTCCCATTGGAAAACCTAAGGTGGGTGGAGATAAAGTTTTGACGCCACTGCAAAGTCCTAACCCCCAGTACCTTAGAATGTGACTGTATTTGGAGACAAAACCTTTAAAAGAGGTATGTAAGTAAGTTAAAATGAGACCTGTAGGTGAGTCCTAATCTGATCTGACTGGTGTCTTTATCAAAAGAAGAGATTAGGACACTGAGAAAAGATCATGTGAAGTCAGAGGGAGAAGTCTGCTATCCCCAACCAAGAGAGAGGCCTCAGAAGAAATTAACCTTGTCAATACTTTGATCTTGGACTTCTAGCCTCCAGAACTGTGAGAAAATAAATTTCTGTTGTTTAAGCCATCTAGTCTACAGTAGTTTGATGTGGCAACTCTAGCAAACTAATATAAATACATTTTGCTTTATTTTCCAAAATAAAATTGCAATATCAAATATGCAAATATCAAATTTGCAATATTAAAATTTCAAACTATACACGCCTCAGCCCCATTTTCCCTGTGGATTTTTCGTTTCTGGCCCCACCACTACCATCTCTCTCCTGGAAAGTTGTTGACCGATAAAGACCAAACTCCTGAGTATGGCACTTCCTCCCCATCCCCATCTCTCACTCCCCCTCACTCATCTGAGGCACTAGTATATCTTCCCATCTCAGGGTGTTTGGTTCTCCCTTCAGTGGCTGTGAAGGGCAAGGTTAGAGAAGTAGGCCCTTGTGGGCCTGATAAGGGGTTGGGTGGGATGGCCATATGGAAAGAGGGTGAAATGGAAATGAGACCAAAGTCAGGGAGCCCAGCAAGGTGCTATAGCAATAATTCCAACCAGGGAGAGTGTGACCCAGATTAGAGTGGGAAGGGAAGATGGAGCTAAGTGGATAGATTTCAGAGATATTGGGGAGATAAAACTGACAGAAACTGGGTACTCAACAAATATTTGTTGACTTTCCTGACTACTCTTTCTAAAGTAGGCTCTTTAGTTACTCTTCTGTTTACTTCCTTCATAGCACTTTTCACAGCCTGCAATTACCTTGTTTATATATTTGCCTATCATATGTTTCCATCAAGTAGATTGTAAACTAAAAGAGGACTGCAACCTTAATCAGTCCTATTCAGAAAGAGTTGGGCGCTTACCAGGTGCTCTCAATAAATCTTTGAAAACTGAATGGCTTCATAAATGATTGGATTATATAGAGTGAGGGGAGAGAGGTAAGAATCAGGCCAGGAGATCTGTCGATCCTGAGTCAAACCCTCCA